CAAAATGTCAGTGGAGCTCAGGGTATGCATGAATGTGCTCCTTGCCATTTGCCAAGGGACTTTGCAGCCAATGTTACAGTTATATTTAACTTCTGAAACACTTTTGAAGACATGGTATAATGCAGCATTTTGTTTTGCCTGATTGCTTTTATTTGATCCCTAGCAGTTGTTTTGACCATGAAAATTTGGATTTAGGTCAGCTGTTCACAAGAAATTTAGATGGTGATGCAAATTCTTCAGTAGGAATATTTCCACTACCAGAAAGTGAGATACATGTCAAACCTAAACAGTTTTTTGAGCCAGTGGATTTGTGTGTGATGCAGTCACACCTGACTTCACATTCTTATGCAAATCTCCCTCTTCGGCCTTACCCTGCTGTGATAACAGGCTTTTGCTATGGTATGTGACTGATAATAGGTGGGAAGAGAGTTTAACATAAAACTAAATGCTAGGCCATCCCCCAGGCCTTGATCTAGCCCTGAAACTGGCGCTAAATATACGCAGGTCTTTGTTGCTGCTGCTACTCTTGGAACTTTATCCCTTAACATGCATCAGCTCACAGGTCCTAACAAGCACATCAATCAAGAAACTGTAAAATGGTTTAAAACATGTTATCGCGGACAAAAGTCAATACATTTTTCACCGTGCTTATTTCAGGAGCAAACAGAAAAAACAGATACTGTCCTTGGGAGATGTGTAGGTGACCTGGATTACAAATACTCCTACCTGTGTACCATAAAAATCGTTAAAGTGAAAAGTTATGCCATCAGTTATAATGCCTGTATTGTACTAAAATCATGGGAGCGGTATTATGTTAGTCAGGGCAAGATATCTACAGAAAATTTCTTTGTGACCTAAATAAGGACTGGCACACAATAAATGCATTCTTACTTCTACAAGTGGTTTTCAGTTAAAAGTAAATGAAGCTTCTTGGCTGGCCCTTACTTTTATAAATTGAACTAACCTGTATTCTGAACCGCAAAGTCTGGTGCATTATATTTTCTGAATAGCAATATGTTTGACTCACACAGCCAGAAGTGTCAGACCAAGTTCCCACTGAGTCCAATTTTGATAAAAGTTTAATAAAGTTTAATAATGGAAAGCAGAAATAACTGGTAGCAGTTCATTTTGAGTGCATACAGGCCTACATAGGCTACTTAGCAATAAAATTTGGAAGGTGCCCAAATTTCTGCATCTTTTTTTTCCTTTTTTTTTGCAATTTTAGTAATGTAAAAACAGAAATTATGGGGAAACACATCAACACATTTAATCACATGATTCTTCTCAAAAAAAAAGTATACTTCTCATTAAAGTGATGATGGACATTGTTTTGCTTTTTCCAAGTTCTGCTGATTATCAAAACACTTAGACAAAATCAGAGGTTTTCTCTCTTAACGCTGTTATTCTAGTACCAAATCCCAACAGCTAATGACCTCAAAATCAATAATAAATGGAAAAATACATATAACACGAAAGACACCATAGCGGAACAATCTCCATAAATAATCTTGGAAGTGTTCTTCTGAGGACTTTTTTAACAGCATCAGGTCTTTAATCCCCTATTCAGTGGGCCTAATGTGCCATCTGCTGTTTCAGTTCTAAACTATAAACAGCTTTTGAAAGAAGCAGTCATTCTGCAGCATTTAAACAAACAGGCTGAAAAACGGTGGGGCGGTTTGTTTTGTTGCTTTTTTTCTTCAATTTTGGAAGCAACCGTTTATGCAAACAGTGGCAAAGGAATTAAAGTTTCACCATTGTTAATGCTGCTCAGAGACTAATAATACTTGAGTCTGAGCCATAAAAACTATTCTTGCACTGCAGACGAAAATACAATGATCTGACCAAAATACGATGATGTGTGAGCGCTATCTGGTGGCTTACTTGGCGTTACAATTTCTTGTATTTCCTGACTGGATTTTGGGGTTTTTTTTCTCTGAGCGCCAGAACTTCATTTAAAAAAAAATCCAAGTTTTATGTCTTTTCTAGGTTTTCATCCAACTAATTGAAATTCTGCAAAAGTTCAGTATGTTTATCTTTCTAAGTCTGGATTCACACAAACTGTGATTGGAGTTGGCACAGATTAGATATGATATGGATTGCAAATACATGTATGCAGGCTTTAATATCTGGAATAATCCAGCTAAAATCACTGGGGTTATTCACAGAAAACAACTCAAGCTGTAGCAAGATGATGCACGTGGTACTGTATGTGTGTTGGGCAGCAAACCTTTTGTAAATGTGTCTTCTCAACGTGATTTGTGTTCAAGCAGTGCACAGCAGCACAGCTAGCAATGAGTGGAAAACAAGGCAGCCGAGTTTTTTACTAAAACGCTTACTTGGATAGTATATAAAGGCCAGGAAAAGTTTTGCCCTAATCACAGAACTGTTAAGATCACCGCTAAAATGCAAAACTTACATAGAGCACAGTTGAAAGCTGGGAGATGAACCGTGAAACACCCTCCCAGAACAATTCTTTATAGGCGAGTGCCACCTGGTGGGACATCGGGAAGACTTTTCAGACCAATAAAGCTGTTTTAAGGTGGTCAGGATCTTTTCAAATCAGAGAATTTACATCAAAAATTAACAGCAAAACCTTACAACAGAGAGCATCCGGCAGCTGAGTGGACACATGGCCTGGCTCTAGTCCCTGCTGATTTATGTGTGACACTGATTATGTTGTGAAATGACAGACAAGGAGGTTTGCATATTTTTAATTAATACATTTGCAAGCATCTCTATCTTGAATCCATGCAAGTTCAAAAACAAATTATTTAAATTCTTTCTTTCGATTCTATGCTTCTATTTCTAGTCTGTGACACTTGTAATTCCCTAAATTTCAAAGTGCGTACAACTCCTAGGTAGGTATCCTATGCAACACAAAATTAAAAGCATGAATGAACAGTTCCTTTGTTGTGAGTTTTCTATGCTAGGGAAAGCACAACAGAGTTGGGCACACATTACCACATCTCAAAGATAAGGGTAGAGACTGACACACATCTCCAACTTAAGCCAAATTAGGCCTCTGCTGTAACCAAAAGGGTATTTCTGCTCCTGACGTATTAATGGGTGGCAGCCACAGCCTCCAGAAGTCATGACACTGCTTGAAATGTTCAGCATTTCCTGCTGTATTCTAAAGAAAATCCCACATTTGAGGCCCAGTTCTGATTTTGCTCATCCCTCTGTGGCACAACAGCACTTTTGTTGAGCAAGCAGCTGGGAAATAGGGTTTACCTCTTCCCATGTTTTTTTGCATGTCTCAAAATAGTGTTCATTTCTAAACTTGCAAGATTTACAGAACACCATCGGAAACGAATGTATTGTTGGAATTTAGCAGGCAATCAGACTGTGCAATTGACACAGACACAGGGTTCCAAGGTCGTGTGACACGGTTTAAATTAGGAAGAATAGCCTTCGGGTTAGATTTAGTGGCATATATGGGACACTCCATCCTAAGAAAACAGCGGATACATAAAATTACAGAAATGTTCACCCTATCACAAGGTTTTGCTACTTCTGTTTTCAACCTCTGAGTTTTACACTTGCATAAAATGCCATTTTGAGAGACACACAAGCATCTTTAATTTGGAAGCCCAGGAGGTCACCAACAGGTACACTGCTTCTGTTTTCATTCACGCATTTGCTCACCACTTCTTTGTCCTCATCCTCCCGGCCTCAAGAAGCAGAAGGAAGCGTTACTTGGCAGTGCACATCGCACGGGCGTTGCATATAAAGAATTAAGGGGATTAGCTGCACCACTATGGTTGGTTATGGCTTCAAAGGAAAATACTGGCTGCACCTACGTAAATGTCTCTGTTTAAGTGATTTAAAAGAAACCATTTCCCAGAAGTACAGGTGCATGACTGGCTACAGCTATTAGGGCCGTGAAAGGGCAAGAATTGCTTGGTGAATGGCGGGGGGGGGGGGATGGGGGCAATAAATAAAAAGACGGAAAAGCCACGAAGGCGATCAGGGATCTCTTTCCCCTCCCTCCCCCGCCCCAGGAGCTCCGGGCCGTCCACCTGCCGCTCCCCAGCCCCGCCGCACCCCAATCCCCCGGACTGGCGCCGCCCGCAGCCCATCCCGGCACTCCAACGAAAGACCCGCGTCCGCCGGGCAGCGCGGGGCACGGCCCGGGCCCACTGCGGCACGGACTGAGCCCGAAATGCCCTCGGGGGCTGGGGGGGCCGGACACCCCCCCGGCCGGGTGGGCCCCGGGCAGGAGGAGCGGCGGGGGAAGGGGCGCAGGCCGCCCGGCAGCCGAGAGCCGACCCCGGGCTGTGCCCGCCGCGCCCCGTCCCGCCCCGTCGGGGGCGGCGGGGGAGAAGGGGGGCCGGCAGCCGCCCGCGGCCGCGTTACGCACGCAGTGAGCTCAGCGGCCCGGGCCGAGGGGCGGCGCGGCGGGGGGCGGCGGGACGCGCCGCGGCGGGGGCGGCCCGGCAGAACCCCATAAAGGGCGGCCGCGGCCGCCCCGCTGCCGCACTCAGCCCGCACGGCGGAGGGGGCCGGAGGGCGGCTGGCCGGGAGAGCCGGCGTTCGCTCCGCTCGGCAAGGACGGGAGGCTCCTCGGCGGGGCCGTGGAAGTGCAGGCGGGACCGTCCCGGGGCTGCCGGAGACTCGCCGGAGCGTCCTCCCCGCCCGCTGCCGGGGAGAGCCGAGGAGGAGGCGGGAAGGAGAAGCGGCAGCGAGAGCAGAACAGGAGGCAGAGAGACGGACCGGGGGGCACGGCTGCCGCCCTCGCACACCCTCGCTCCCCGCCACCGCGCCCCGGCCATGGGAAAGCCGACGCCGCCGCTCCAGTGACCGCGGGACCCGGAGCCCGCCCGGTCCTCCGCCAGCAGAAAGAGACTCAGACACCCCCCAAAACCTGAAAGCAAAAAAAAAAACAAAACCTATATCTCTATTACATATTTCTCTATAAAGTCAAATAAAGACACGAGAAGGGCTCCGTCAAGCCGGCGGGTGCAGCAGCGAGCCTCCCCCGCCCGAGCGCGGCGGCCGCGATGAGGCCCGGGGGGCCCCTGCCGGCGCTGGCGCCGGTGCTGGCGGCGCTGCTGGGGCTGTGCAGCGCCGAGCGCCGGGCCCTGGTGCTGCCGCGGCGCCTGGGCGCGCCCGCCGGCCGCGAGCGCTTCCGCCTGGAGGCCTTCGGGGAGCGGCTGACGCTGGAGCTGGAGCCCGACAGCAGCTTCCTGGCCCCGGACTTCACCCTGCAGTACCTGGGCGGGCCGCCGCCGCCGCCCGAGGACGACCTCTCCCGCTGCTTCTACTCCGGCACCGTGAACCGGGACCCCAGCTCCGCCGCCGCCCTCAGCCTGTGCGCGGGGATGCGCGGCGCCTTCTCGCTGCGGGGCCGGCAGTACCTGATCCAGCCGGCCCCCGGCACGGCGCACCGCGCCGGACCGCACCTCCTCCGCCTGCGCGGGGCCCGCCGGGCCGCCCCCGCCGCCCGCTGCGCCGTGGCCGAGGCGGGGGCGGGGGCGGAGGGGCCGCAGCCCGCCGGGCTCGCAGGTACCGTCGGGACGCCGCGCCGCCCTCCGCGGGGACTGGGATGGGATGGCATGGCATGGGATGGCATAGGATCTTCCTCGCCCAGCGCCCCCGCCCCGACGGGCGCTGGCGGGGATGCCCCGGCCAGCGCTTCCTCCGCATCGCACCCCGAGGGGCGGCGGCGGGGTGCTCCGCACTGGGTGCGGCGTTCGCCCGGAGGCAGCGAGCCGGACGGGTTATTCAGCGAGGGCTGCCAGAGTTTGGGGGCGGGAGGCGGGCGCGGGGCCATAGGGTACATCCCTTGAGTATCGGTGAGTTTGGGCTTCCTTACGGTGGTCTCTTGTTTTGTTGTGCTGACCTGCGCTTTCCCTCCTTCTCCCTATCTTTTTTTTTTAATGCAGAAACGAGAAGCAGAAGGAAGAAGAGGTTTGTGTCCAGCCCCCGCTACGTGGAGACCATGCTGGTAGCCGACCAGTCCATGGCCGAGTTCCACGGCAGCGGGCTGAAGCACTATCTCCTGACACTGCTCTCCGTGGCGGCCAAGCTGTACAAGCATCCCAGCATCCGCAACTCCATCAGCCTCGTGGTGGTGAAAATCATGGTCATTTACGAGGAGCGGAAGGGACCTGATATCTCTTCGAACGCGGCCCTGACTCTGAGAAACTTCTGCAGCTGGCAGAAGCAGCACAACCCGCCCAGCGACCGGCACGCGGAGCACTACGACACGGCAATCCTCTTCACCAGGCAGGTGAGGGACATGAAGGTCAAATCCATCCCCATGCTCTTTGCTCCCTACCCCAGGAGGCCCCCTCTGCCAGGAAACCCCAAAAAAAGTGTTCAGAGACAGTCTTGTGTCATCACAGCTTTGGTGAAGTAGGCTAAAAATTAGATGAAGTGCTTTTTATTTTGTTAGTCTTTTGCTGTTTGCACCATCTCAGGTGAAACTCACAGTTTGTGCACTGTATTTCTGCCCCATATATTTTTAGCAGATTTAGGATGGAAATTATGCATTTTATTTCTACGTGTAACCCTTGTGTATGTTCCAAAGACAGATTTTTGCCATCATACCCATTGAAGTGCTGAATATTTATGCTCTTTCCATAAGTAAAGGCAAACTGCCAGGGCTGGATGGCTCTTGCCAAGGTTAAGTCTCTGATCTGATTAATAATGAAACTGCCTTTTTTTACAGGACCTGTGCGGTGCCAAGACATGTGATACTCTTGGGATGGCTGATGTGGGAACAGTTTGTGATCTAAACCGCAGTTGCTCTATCATAGAAGACGATGGTTTGCAGGCTGCCTTTACAACAGCCCACGAACTAGGTACTTGAAGCTTTGAAAGGCAATTTCATGTGATTAATTGAAGCCAGCTTGATGCCGTAAAGCAACTGCCCAGCCTGCACCGCGGGCTCACCCAGTGCAGTCAGGAGGAGGCAAAGCTCTGCCTTGCAGCAGGGTTGAACTGGGGAAAGCGAATCCAGTCTGCACAGCATTGTCTGCAAGAGCTGTGTTTCCTGACTGCAGGAAAAAAACGGGGAGAGAAGATACAGTGCCATCTGCTTAAAATCTGGCAGCATTCAGATTTGGGTTATTACTTAAAGACCAGGCTATGAGCAGCACTAGAGTAATATTTAAAATACTACTGGTAATGCATAGGACAGACTTCCTAAAATCACAGACTTTCCTTTTTTTTTAAGGCCACGTGTTTAACATGCCTCATGACGATGCAAAGCAGTGTGCTGGTATTAATGGAATAAGCCGGGATTTCCACATGATGGCATCTATGCTTTCCAATCTGGATCGCAGCCAGCCGTGGTCTCCGTGTAGTGCCTACATGATTACAACATTTTTGGATAATGGTCATGGTAAGATTATTAAGCTTTCCATTCATGTGGCATTTAAGCTCTTGTGCTTTACTGCTCTGCTTTTTTTTCTTTCTCTTTCCTTTTTTTTAACAGAGTGCTTTCTGCTTCAGCATAGAGTTAACCTTTTGCATGCTGCCAGTGAATTTAGAAGACCCTTAATTTTACAGAAATGGTGGCACAAATGGGCTCAAAGACTTCTGTCACAAAGCAAATGCAGTTCCCTTTTGAAACTGAATTCACTCACAGCATCATCTGCCTTTTTTTTTCCCCTTTTTTTTCCTTTTCAGGTGAGTGTTTGTTAGACAAGCCCCACAAACCAATCCAGCTCCCTTCTGACTTGCCTGGCACGTTGTACGATGCCAACAGACAGTGCCAGTTTACATTTGGAGATGAGTCCAAGCACTGCCCCGACGCAGCCAGTACGTGTACGACGCTGTGGTGTACTGGCACTTCTGGAGGACTGCTTGTGTGCCAAACCAAACACTTCCCTTGGGCAGACGGCACCAGTTGCGGGGAAGGGAAGTGGTGCATGAATGGCAAGTGTGTGAATAAAACTGAGAAGAAGCATTATGATGTAAGTATTGAGAAAGAAATCAGAATGTATCTTGGGTTGCAGAGTCGCATGGAAAATGCTGCGGTGGGGGGAATCAGTTAAAAGGGGTTGAATCAATGGAGGCAGACAGCTAATAAAACAAACTTGGAGCGTCTAATGAGTAGTTTGGGTAAAAATGAGCATGATTGTGGCTTTTGTGGTTTGGTTTTGTCTTGCTCTTACTGTATTAACTTTTGTTCCCCTTCTGCTTGTCATTCCAGACGCCAGTGCATGGGAGTTGGGGGTCCTGGGGGGCGTGGGGAGAGTGCTCCCGGACCTGCGGCGGTGGAGTGCAGTACTCCTTCAGGGAGTGTGACAACCCCGTCCCGAGGAACGGCGGGAAGTACTGTGAAGGGAAGCGCGTGCAATACAGATCATGTAACATCGAGGACTGCCCGGACAACGATGGTAATCTTGTCCCCATTTCTGAGGCAGAGGATTGGTGTCTTGCGGAGGAAGAGCATGGACAGGGATGATCTAATGTCCACCTGTCTTTTCTCTGCCTGCAGGCAAAACGTTTAGGGAGGAACAATGTGAAAAGCACAATGAGTTTTCCAAGTCTCCCTTTGGAAGTGGACCTGCAGTGGAGTGGACACCCAAGTTTGCTGGTGTCTCTCCAAAGGACAGATGCAAGTTGGTTTGCCGAGCAAAAGGAACAGGATACTTCTTTGTTTTACAGCCAAAGGTATTTTAAAACCGTACCTCTTCTGTCTAATATGAATAGGATTTTTATTTTCTCTCTTTATGTCAAGGGTCAAACAGTGCAGAAATCTGAAATTATGTCTTTCTTATATTGAAGTTGGATTATTCCTCTTCCTACAGATACAGCTTAATCAGTACAAGCATGCTTTAACTATTCTGGCACAGTGCTTCCAGTTATTTCACACGTACTGCCTCTTCTATCCACTCCACCATGATTTCCTTTCCTCTCCTTCCACCAATTTGATTACATGAAGATATGTTCAGAAAACTGGGGAGGATCTTTGCCAAAACACTGGTGCTTTCTCATACTGGTTACTAATATGCTGACAGCTTAAAATAAACATGAGGAAAAGTGTTCATCTTGCATAGCTACTTGAACTCGCTGTCATCAGATGTGGAGAGCCAGTAACTACCAGGGCGATGACACACATGTTTTTTGTAGACCAGTACTTCTAGAAATAGAGGATATGTTGAACAACATTAAAAGCAATGTTGATACTGTACTTTGAGAACATGACTGCCTTCTAGTGACATCAGAAAACGTTCTTTCTTTACATGAAATCAGTAAAACAGTTTTGTACGAGGGGGTATTAAAGAAAACTGAAATTTTTTGTTCTTTCCTCTCACTATGACATCACTTTTGCAAGTGAGATGAAGTAGCACTACGTACCTCCGACCATGGGCTGCTTTGGTTTTAATTTCCAAAGCCCTGAAAATACAGGTGCTGCAGGTCTACCACCTGTCCATACTGTGCATTTGATATGTGTCCCTGTTATGCAGTTCCAAAGCAATGTGCATCTTCTAATCAGAGGTCCTGCTGTTTGTGTCTTGCAAAGGTTGTGGACGGCACCCCATGTAGCCCCGATTCCACGTCCGTGTGTGTGCAGGGGCAGTGTGTAAAGGCTGGCTGTGACCGTGTGATAGGGTCCAACAAGAAGTTTGACAAATGCGGTATTTGTGGTGGCAATGGATCCACTTGCAAGAAAGTGTCTGGCACACTTGTAAGAGCAAAGTGAGTATACGATTGCTGCTGTTACTTTGTTCTGGTGATTGTTTTGTGAGTGTAAACTCTGGCTTTCCAAGTCAGTGAGATGTTGCCCAAGTTTGTCATTGGAACTGAGATTTGATAAGTCAGAACGACCTGACTGAGGATAACTTACATCGGGATGCAGCAAAAGAAAGTCCTTATGTGTGGGCGTATCTCTGCAAATGTGGGATATGACTTGGGGAATCCCTTACTCCATTAATTAGGTTGGCAGCTCATGACCTAAATGCTTGGACTGAAAACAAAGTTTAGCCTTGTGCTGGGAAACTACTTCCCTTTTCCAGGGAAGGGCAGAGGACTCAGTCTTTCTCTTTTCTCTCGGGCAGACCCGGCTACCACGATGTCGTCACCATTCCGGCTGGGGCAACCAACATCGAGGTGAAGCAGCGGAACCACAGGGGTGCGAGGCACGATGGCAGCTTCCTTGCTATCAAAGCTGCAGATGGCACCTACGTCCTCAACGGCGACTACACCTTGTCCACGCTGGAGCAGGACATCACCTACAAGGGCAGCGTGCTGAGGTACAGTGGCTCCTCTGCTGCCCTGGAGAGGATCCGCAGTTTCAGCCCCCTGAAGGAGCCTTTGACCATCCAGGTCCTCACAGTGGGGGACCTGCCACAGCCCAAGATCAAGTTCACCTATTTCGTGAAGAAGCCCACGCAGCCTGGGTCGGAAAAGGCGCCCGGTAGAAAGAAAGAGTCCTTCAACGCCATCAGGGAGATCATCTCGTCCGAGTGGGTCATCGAGGACTGGGGCGAGTGCTCCAAGTCGTGTGGCTCGGGCTGGCAGCGGCGGGCAGTGGAGTGCCGGGACCCGCAGGGCCGGCCGGCCTCCGACTGCGCCCGGGAGCTGAAGCCCAGCAACCTCCGTCCCTGTGCCGACGTGCCCTGCCCGCAGTGGCAGCTGGGGGACTGGTCACCCTGCTCTAAGACATGTGGGAAAGGTTTCAAGAAGAGATTGTTGAAATGCATTTCTTACGACGGCAGCGTGCTGCCGCAAGAAAGCTGTGAACCTTCCAAGAAACCGAAACACCTAATAGACTTCTGCAACGTTACGGACTGCAGTTAAAATAGGACAAGTTGGGAAAGCTAAAAGTCTTTTTTTTTTTTTTTTTTTTTTTTTAACTTCAGAACAATGCACTGAAAAAAAGAAAGAGGGCTAGAGGCAGCACATCTGTTTTTGCATAAAAAATTCATAGTAAAGATCCACTGAGGTGGGACACTGCAAATAGCTTTAGTTGGCTTTGCATCCTAAAAATACCCTGCCAACTGAAAATTTGATGGGATAGCAGACCCATGTCACTCACTCGACTTCAGCAGATAAGGCCCAAAGGCATCATAATGGCCTTTTTTAAAGTCTGTTACAAATTAAACAAAACAGGAGCAGTAAGACAAGTTTAAGCAAACATTTTGGGGTTTAGTTATTTCTTCCTTCTTTTGGATTTATATTGTGGTACTGATCAAGTCCCCAGGTGTAGGAAAGGGAGGGAAAGGGGAGTGAAAAAGATAGCTTAAAATAATTGGTCAGAGCTTACCTACCTCACAAAGGGCAAAAAAACAGGATTGGAAAAGGAGCTTTAACTATGTCATTCAGGGCTGCTATTGTTTTAGAGAATAGTTTTATATAAAAATAAAGCCATATTCTCTACGTGTAAAGAGTAAGAAATATCAAGAATAGTCGGTCAACTTCACAAATAACTAAATGTTTTGGGTTTTTTAAGTGCCTTTATGTCATCCCAATGTGCCTGTCCATTTCTCTCATCCACTCCAGTGCCATTGTGGTGACATATGTAATCCAGAGGCTAGAAAAAGTGGAAATCTTAATGGAACATATGTTATCTCTGGTTGCTCTTTGTGCCTTCTGCATACCTTCCACTGGCTTTTCTGATTCCAGCTTGGTCCTACCTTCCTGTCAAACAGACTGATGGAGTTTGTGAGCATTTGAGTGAAGCTTTGACATTCAAATCTTTTGCCTTGCCCCAGCCAATGGATATTGTTTGCTTTGGGTTAAAAAAAAAGAAGAATCCCACTGTGAATGGGAACCTCCTATGTAGCCTCTGATGGGTTTGTAGTGCTCAATCACTGATAAGGTGGGAAGGCAAAGCTGAAGGATAGCAGGTCCATCCACAGCTGCATTCACATGATTGAAGTTTGTGCCAGTTCATAGACAATGAGAGAATATGGCTTTCCATATGTATATAGTAAAATATATTACTATAGATTTTATATACTTTATAAGTATTTTATATTTCTTTCCCTTCTGGGAAAGGTTATAAATTGTAATAAATGCATATAATGAGCATATTTATTTTTATACTTCTTGTCTAATGTGATCTTCTAAGTTATCACTTTTTTAAAAGGACATATAACAAGGATAGAGTATTTATACAGTATAATATGTTACTAGAGGTAATAAAAGAACCCTATAAATTTTGGAAATGGAGTGTCTTTATTTCACTGGACTAAAACTAGTCCATCAAGCAGAAAGAGCTTGGAATCTAAGGAAATGTTATGCAAAAGGCTACTAATTAACTGTGTTAGCAAAGAGGTTTGGAAAACTCTACCTGTAACACCATACATCACATTAAAAGAGGTAATTTTGTATTTTATTACTTAACCACTAATTCATCTATTAAAAATCACAGTGCAACTGGACTGATGCTACTGGTTGTAATAACTGCTTGCAGAGGGAGTATTGCTGTCAGTAGTGTTTATAACCAACAAAATACATACAAAAAGTAGTTTTACCTGCTCTGGTTAACCTTACCCCAGTGGGAAAGGAGCATTCAAAATTCAAAGCCTTTAACAAGCACTCAGAGGTTTCCCTCACCAGTTTCTGGAGGCCCTCCTGATTGTGCTTTTCTAATTAGAAGTACTGTATGAATGAGCTGCTCTAACACTGTTGGTTACACTTTTTATTATGTTAAAATAGATACTAAGCATCAAGAAACTGATTTTTGCTCCCTCATATCTGATCTCATGACCACTGCACTCAAGGGAAAATCTTCGGTTGAGCTCGATAGGATTTTTGCCATGGAATTTGAGACATCAGTCATTTGTGGATACTTTTGGCTTTATGTCATGTAAAAGTCTATTAAAACTTCCTTTGCCAATGTTTGGACTCAGTCTTGCAGAAATTGTTCCCACTTTATTCTGTGGATAAAATCCTGGCCCCTCTAAAGCACATAGAAAAATTCTCATCACGTCACACTTCATTGAGCATTACTTTGACATGCAAAAACACTGGGGACTATTTTGCTTCTAACATTATTTAGGAGGGAGCCAATCCCTTTCTGTATTTATAAATAGTTAAAAGTATGTATACATACAGCAAATAACTATTTATTTGTATATATGTATATGTACACCAATATTTTACTACAGCAGGTTAAAATTAGGATTATATACAGTTTCAAGAGAAAAAAATATACATTTTTATTTTCATTTTCTGCTGTTGTTGTTACTCCTTGTAGACTTCATATCCTAATATGTAGTTGGTGGTTGGTGTTACCTGAAACAGTCTCCATTTAAGATTCCAAGGAGCTACAGTCCTGAAAAGGCAACACCCTGTGATATCTACAGAATTGACGAGGTCCCGTGACTTCTGGGTGATGGCAATTGCCCAAATTTGCTCTCCTCAACCTAGAAGAAACATTCAAGGCGAGGCTGAGAACGCCCTGCAGAGGAAACAGCTTCTCCATGACCTATCCATATCAACTGAAGCCCAGCTGAGGCGCTGACATACTCTCACTTCTTGCAGTAGTGCTTAAAGAGGCTCTTGGGAGAGAAAAATGGCATTTCACAGGCACCGCCTTTCATGCTGAAGGGAATTTGGATCCAATCAAATACAGCCAATTCCTTCTTTAACAAAAGGTGGTGAAGTGTTCTGCATTTCCAAAACATTGTGACTGCAGTACCTAGGTCAGTCAGCCCTGTGGTTACAGTGAGGAGTCAGAGGGGGTGAGGGAAATCAAACACATTTGGTATTTTACACAAATGTCAATAACAGTTTTTACACTTTCACAAACAGCTGCATAATAAAATGAGTGATGAACTAGTAAAGTTTTATGACATACTGGCAGCCTATTTGCTATGGTAGCATTCATTTCTTTAGAGCACAAACAAAGCAGCAGCAGGTCAGTTGTAGCGTGGCTGACCAAGACTGCATTTCCAAGTCATAGTCCACTGGCTATTTTTCTTTGATTAGATCATGAATTCTTGGCAGCTGCATCTCTTATACAGTAATAAGGTTCATGAATCACAGAATCATAAAATGGTTTGAGTTGGAAGGGACCTTAAAGATCATCTTGTTTCAACCCCCCTGCCATCAGCTGGGACACCTTCCACTAGACCAGGTTGCTCAGAGCCCCATCCAACCTGGCCTTGAACACTTAGAGGGATGGAGCATCCAAAACTTCTCTGGCAGACCTGTTCCAGTGCCTCATCACCCTCACAGTAAAGAATATCTTCAGTATATCTAATCTAGATTTCCCCTCTTTCAGTTTGATGCCATTCCCCCTTGTCCTGTCACTACAGTTCCTGATGAAGGGTCCCCCTCTGGCTTCCCTGTAGGCCCCTTCACAGGCTGGAAGGTGCAATGAGGTCTCCACACAACCTTTTCTTCTCCAAGCGGAACAGCCCCAACTTTCTCAGCCTGTCAAAATTACGAAAATTATGAAATTATATCCTTTTTTTAATAGAGCTGGATAACAGAGAACGTGCTCCAAATAATGTATTAATTAAGCAGTGCAATCAAAGAACTGCTCCCTTCCAAAAGCGCCCTTTAGTTACATGAAAATCTGCTGCTCTGGGCGACCCAGCAAAGGGAAATGAGCAAAACTGTAAGGGAAACGAGCAAAATGAGCATAGTGTAGCTGTGTAGCAATCAAGATCACAATTAAACACATTCCCTGCACCAAGAGTCTGGCAATTTATAGCTGTTCTTACAAAGGACTGGGTATTTAAGTGCTTTTATGTGCACACCCATCACTGTAAGCAGGAATCTCGACACTTTGTTACTGACTGACAAGGAGTGCTCTGGGGAGCAGGAGCAGCAATGAACTTGTAAGAGTTGGCACTTTCTGCCAGCCCAGGCACTCTTCTTGGGCCACAGCCACTGATTCCACTAATGCCCCTGTGGGCTTCAGACCCTAGATGAAAATTGTTGCTTTCAACAAGGTTGCCTCAGTTGTCCACCTTGACAGGGTGGGTGGGACAGGTTCCCAGCACCCAGCATTTCATCTGAGGACAGCCTCACAGCCTTTTGGAGCCAAATTTGCCTGGCTTCCTCCCAGGTTCAGAGGAAACAGATGCTCTAGCTTTGGGGTTTTTAACATTTTTAATGTCATAAGATAAATGAGTTTAGCTGTGTAGTGTGGGTGTGGCAGACGAACCCTGTGTCTTCAAGTATTTTCAGAGGTGTGGGGAGAGGCAGGTGTCTCAATGAATGAGATGTGCCTTCCTTGATCACCGTTGGTTTCATTGCTTGCAAGGCTGAAGGATCTTCCAGTTCTTGATCAGGCTAAAGTCTCCCTGTTGGCAGAGCAGTGCAACTGAAAGCACTGTACAGAGGAGTTTTTAGACACTGCAGACATCATGAGACCAAAGGAAAACTCTTTCCTGTCTTTCAGAGGCCTCAGGAGCCTGACTTTGAGACAGAAGGCCAGTCTGAGGGCTAGATCTCCAGAATCCAATCTTCAAACTTCACTATCTAAGTTAGAAAATAACTGGGAGTTTGAAGAGGAGACTGTTCATGCTGGAGAATTATCTGCCAAGCTGATTAGTTGTGAAATTGTGGTATCTATTAAGTATTGTAAATGGTGTAACTAAAAAATTCAGAGTAGCTGTTTTCCTCTGGTGCTGTCAATAAATAATGTGAGTTACTGCTTGAAATTGTATTAACATTAAAGAGGGAAAAACTCAAAACAGTATGTGATAGGGTTCTTGAGCTGCTGCATTCCCCTCTCTTTAGTTCAACTGTTGTTGTAAAACCAAGACATGTTGGTGTCATAAAATAACTATTTTGCCATTGGTTGTAATACATGGGGTTTCAGAGCAGGGAAAGCTTGGTGGCTATCTAAAAGTTGGTTCTGTTTGAGCTTTCAGAGTAAAGAAATAATTGTATACATCTGGTATGGAAAAATCCTGAAATTGTCTAGAGCCACTATGTACTTCAGAAGCTGATACCTGCATTTCAGAGCCACCAGTTGCCTGAGTATATTCGGACTTGTAATTTTAATGTCATGACATGGACTTAGAGCATAAAGGCCCCAGATCTGTA